AGCATGAAAGAAAAAAAACTCACATTTTCTGATCATATTTCATGAGTGGTACATCATTTCTATCATTCTCCGTCCGTTGATGTTTCTCCTGTTGGTTGGTGCCATGTCGTCGTTTACCATTTTCGTTATGTTGGTGGTTTCGCGTTTTACTTTGGTAATTATCTCCGCCGCAGGAATTTTCAGAATCAGGAGTATGATGTTTTTGTTGGGTTGGCGACGGAGATTCGTTAACTTTACTCGGGAAATAACTTTTCTTGCAACGCTTTATGTCTTCTGCATCTTTGACGTCACCTTTCGAATTTTCAAAAGGTTCCGGTCGCTCTTTTGTCATTGCAGCCATCGGTGAATGCAATGGTCATAGGAAAACCATCAGATAGCTAAAAACAATTTTCGGGAGAACAGAATACTCGACTTAAATAACAACGATGAGAAATTTTCGAAGAAATGAGGCAATTTATCACACGTATATAAAGCACTTGCAGAATCTGTTTCGAAGACAGATGAATAGGATGTTTGACGAGAGGAACTTTATTAGAAGTAGTATAAGGAGATAAACATTCAAAGACTTTGTTTACTTCTTGAATAAACAAAGATTCTTGAGGGGTGAAGAGAACAAGGTATATATATAAATGAGTGAACCTCAAAAAAAAAAAAAGAAAAGGAAAATCAAATTTCAAGGGGCTTTTCAGGTTTTTTTTTTTTTTTTTTTTTTTTTTTGTGCGTACAGTACATAGTTACACCAAATATGTCTAGAAATGTACGCACATAGATGAAAATCCTGTTGGTATGTAACATAAGAGTGTATACCTTTAACCTTTCTTCACATGTCATTTCGGGAAGTGTCACTTTACACAATCCACCGTATAGCAACATCATAACATCCTGCTGCATAATTTTTTTTATTACTCGGACCACTGTTCCTTGCTTGCATCTTTAGTCGATAAAATAAATGACTTTCTAAATATTACACCAATTAAAAATCCTGTGTTTTCCAGAGGTGATCTGTCTTAAGCAGATGTGAATGCATGCCTTTCCATCCCATTTTGTGCAAAACCTTGCTGATATTTGTTAATTCAAATGATTGACCAAGTTTCAAGGCGCGGAATCAACAATAAGAATTCATGATCCGAAGCAGTTGCTTAATTTTCAGGAGATTCTTGTGTTCATGTGTTCAAT